GCTAGGGAGGGTCAGCAGCGTGTGTTCTGAGAGAGGAGGCCTAGGCAAGATACCCCTTGGGCCACTTTTTTTTTTTAATTGAATGGTAACTATGTACATTAATGCACTTCTGGGGTACAGTGTGGGGTTTTCACATGGGCCACTTTTTATGAGCATGTTTGTCCACAGAATGTGGCCTGCAGAGAACCTGTTTGTGCCTAAAAGTGGGGTCTGTGATGAGACCGAGTCTGAGCTCACCTCCGCCTAGAAAATGGGGGTCCCCGTCCAGGCCTGAATAGGAACCTGCATCATTCAGACTCTGAGCGTGCATGATTTTCACAATAGCAGGGGAGATGCTGTTGTGATCCCATCAACACATGAGGACACTGAGACTCCCAGGGACTGAGTAGCTGGCCAAGGTCCTAAGCGAGGAGGGTCCAGGTCCACCTCACCCGACAGTGATCCGTCAGTGCTGGGACTTTTGTCTCATCCCAGAAAGAACATGAATGACCAGGAAAGCTGCTGCTAATTGTACAAAGTAAGCTCTTTGCTAAATGACCCCCTTTGAATGCCTGCAGAGCACGTGGCCTCTCTATGTGAATAACCACTATTAAGTAATTCACTGGGAAGACACCCAGCATCAGAACCACAGAGGCAGGAGACAGGAGTTCACACGTTACTTTGTGCTCTTTAAGGCTGTTGAATGGGAAATGTCACACCAAACAAACATCATGGTGTTCACATTTCAGAACACGGGGTCAAAACCCACATCTTAGGATTGACACTGGAATGGAAACTTGATAAACATTTTCTTAAAAATAAAAAACATATCTAGACTTTGAAATAAACTTTATTAAAATTATATGACATCTTAAAGAAATATAAGGACATGTGAAATATTTTAAGAATTAAATATTTTTAATGTAAATACATCTTTCCAAAAAAACTCATAGAGACTTTTATCTCATTAGTTGGGATACAGATGAGCCTGAGGGGTGATTAGAGCAGTTTCCTGCTGAGGAAAGTCAAGTCTCAGTGATGGATCGGAGCGTAATTAAAATGTCAGGGCAATAAATTGTGATGTGTGGCTGGGAAACCACTTGGATCATGAACCAGTGAGATTTATTGTTCCTTCTTTTCTTTTTCTCAAAACAAATGCTACTAACTGGCCAAGGTTTGCAAACCTTTAATTACTAATTGTGTGCCATAGATCTTTATGGGGCTGACTTTTAAGTTAAAAAAAATGTTTTTAATCTCTGCTGTGAAGCACAGGGGGAGATTAGAAATTGATTCAATAGTCATCTTAAAAGGAGGAAAAATGAGCTGAGGAAAGACATGCATTAATCCTGGGAAGATGAAAAGTTTCCATCCTTGATGTTAATCATCTGCTCTGCTGACCACTGAGAAAAGGCAAAGCAGGCTTGGTGCCCGTAGCTCAGTGTTTAGGGATGGTAGGTTTGAACCCGGCCTGGGCATGCTGCACAATGACAACTGCAACAAAAAAATAGCCAGTAACCAGTTTGATGAAAGTATTTCAAATTGTATATAAAGCCAGCACACTGTACCCTATGACTGCATTAATTTACATAGCTATGATTAAATTAAAAAAAAAAATAGCTGCATGTTGTGGCAGGTTCCTGCAGTCCCAGCTCCTTGGGAGGCTGAGGCAAGAGAATCGCTTAAGCCCAAGACTTTGAGGTTGCTCTGAGCTGTGATGCCACAGCACTCTACTGAGGACAACATAGTGAGACTGTCTTTAAAAAAAAAAAAAAGGCAAAGCAGAGCAGATGTTTTTCTCTTTGCTAGTAGCTTTCATTTTTTGTTGTACTTTTGATTTGTGCAATTCAGTTACTTTTTCCTCTTTTTTGGTTCTTTTTTGTTTTTCTTCTTTCTCATCATCACTTCACATGGGCAGTGAAAATTCAGAGGAGCGACAGGCAACTTACCTGGGATTTCTGGGCCATCAGCCACTTCGGCCACCACACCGACCAGCACCCCAGCCATCACACCGGCCATCACTCCAACCTTCCCCATGACACCCATCACCCCGACCGCTGCAGAGCACCCGCCCTGACATTCCCGAAAGCGCCACCTCCAAATAGCCCTCGTAATGTTCCAATATGCACCATATTCTTCTCGCTCCTTCCCTGTCAATGCATTCCGTCTTTAGCTTCCTGGCTATTATGTGTGTGTGTGTTCTGTCATGGCACCCTGTCACTCCTGACCTCTCCTGAGGCTTGTCTTCTCCAGCAGAAAGCATTGTCATTACGAAAGGATGTAAATGTTCACAGCACTTTCCCTGTGGCTCAGGAAATAACCGTTCTGAATACAATACTGAGTACAGTCTTCTCAGATTCTCAGTTCTGAGTATTATACCAAGTAGGGGTTCTCAGATCAGAAAATAACAATTTAGAGTATTATACCAAGTGTGGTGTTCTCAGATCAGGAAATAACAGCTCAGAATATTATACCGAGCACTGTGTTATCAGATCAGGAATTAGAATATTATACCAAGTTCTCAGATCAGGAAATAATAGTTCAGAGTATTATACCGAGTACTGTGTTCTCAGATCAGGAAGTAACAGTTCAGAGTATTATACTGAGTATTCTCAAATTCTCGGTTCTGAGTATTACACCAAGTACAGTCTTCTCAGGTTCTCAGTTCTGAGTATTATACTGAGTGCAGTGTTCTCAGATTAAAGGTTCAGAATATTACACCGAGTTCTCAGATCAGGAAATAACAGTTCAGAGTATTATACTGAGTATTCTCAGATTCTGAGTTCTGAATATTATACCAAGTACGGTGTTCTCAGATCAGAAAATAACAGTTCTGAATATTACACTGAGTACAGTGTTCTCAGATCAGGAAATAACAGCTATAAGTATTATACCAACTACTCGGATCAGGAGGTAACAGTTCTGAGTATTATACCGAGTACAGTGTTCTCAGATTCTCAGTTCTCAGTTGGCATTATACCAAGTATGGTGTTCTCAGATCAGGAAATAATGCTTCAGAGTATTATACCGAGTTCTTGGATCAGGAAATAACAGTTCTGAGTATTATACCAAGTACGTCATTCTTAGCTTCTCAGTTCTGAGTATTATTCCGAGTACAGTGTTATGGGATACGCTTTGTGTTTGTGGAATCACAAAATTGTTGTCAGAAAACAACTATGAAAATGAGATTATGTACCTAATGCTTTGAGTTGCTCACAGAGAAACTTGTTTTATTGTGTTTTCTTTGTTTCCTTCCTTCCTTCTCTCCTTTTTCCTTTGTTTTCCAAAGCAAAACTCTTAGAGTCTCTCTGTGTTCCTGTGTGCTTACGAGGATCCTGCTGTCCTCACATTTCAGCTTCTCGTAGTTCTGAGATTCTAATGCCCACTCCTGAACCTGGGCTCAGTCTGACCGTGTATTGGGAGCTGTCCTGTACACTGTGTGTCTCTGGGCTCAGTCTGGCCAGGTGCTGGGAGCTGTCCTGTACACTGTGTGTCTCTGGGCTCAGTCTTGCCGGGTGTTGGGAGCTGTCCTGTTCACCCCGCGTGTCTCTGCGCTCAGTCTGGCCATGTGCTGGGAGCTGTCCTGTGCACCATGTGTGTCTCTGCGCTCAGTCTGGCCGGGTGCTGGGAGCTGTCCTGTGCACTGTGTATGTCTCTGGGCTCAGTCTGGCCGGGTGTTGGGAGCTGTCCTATGCACCATGTGTGTCTCTGCGCTCAGTCTGGCCGGGTGCTGGGAGCTGTCCTGTGCACCGTGTGTGTCTCTGGCCTCAGTCTGGCTGGGTGCTGGGAGCTGTCCTGTACACTGTGTGTCTCTGGGCTCAGTCGGGCCGGGTGTTGGGAGCTGTCCTGTACACCGTGTGTCTCTGGGCTCAGTCTGGCCGGGTGTTGGGAGCTGTCCTGTGCACTATGTGTGTCTGCGCTCAGTCTGGCCGGGTGCTGGGAGCTGTCCTGTGTACTGTGTGTGTCTCTGGCCTCAGTCTGGCCGGGTGTTGGGAGCTGTCCTGTGCACTGTGTATGTCTCTGGACTCAGTCTGGCCGGGTGCTGGGAGCTGTCCTGTGCACCGTGTGTGTCTGGGCCCAGTCTGGCCGAGTGCTGGGAGCTGTCCTGTGCACCATGTGTGTCTCTGGGCTCAGTCTGGCTGGGTGCTGAGAGCTGTCCTGTGCACCGTGTATGTCTCTGGGCTCAGTCTGGCCGGGTGCTGGGAGCTGTCCTGTGCACCGTGTGTGTCTCTGGGCTCAGTCTGGCCGGGTGCTGGGAGCTG